CTTTGTGATAGGTATTGATGCAAATGCCCATTTTGTCGACAGCTCTGAGCCCCATATTGGCCCCGAAGGACTCGAGGAAGTCGGCAACTACGGAGCTGATTGTTTCCGACAACTTCTAGAAGAGTTCGGCTGTTTTGTCCCGGCAACCTTCCCTGATGTGCATTATGGAGAGAATTGGACCTGGCTCAGTCCGGCAAACGGTTCCAAAGCAAGGTGTGATTATGTTGCGATTCCTCTGCAGCCGAGCCCGAACTGCATGAAAAGCTATGTGATTGACAACCTCGATATTGGAACCAAATCACCAGATCACCGGCCAGTCGTTCTCGAGCTTGTTTTGCCAAAAGTAAAGAAGGTGCGGCGATCTAAACAGAACCAACTAGATCGGAAAAAGCTCCAAGCAGCCACTTCAGATCAGATTGCATCGATCCTACAGGACGTGCCTGCCCACCTATGGCATGAAGATATTGAGAGACATGCAGTATCACTTTCGGAGCAGATAGCCACCAGGTTGGCAACAGCTTTCCCAAAACCCCGTTCTGGACCACGAAGTGGTTTCATTTCTGAGGCGACTTGGGAGCTCCGTTCAAGGCGCATGGCTCTTCGGCGTGAAATCCAGAGCCTTCGACATAGCCTGGAGGTCATGACTACAAGATGGACACTACATTGGTGGCAGGGAAAAATACGAGTTGGGGCATACTTTGAGCTCTATTGCTGCTTCTTCCGCCAGTTCGGCCTGCTCCGTACCAAACAGAGACAGAGCTCGCAGGAAGCCAAGAGCTTGAAAAAGCAACTTCGGTTGGACAAGACTGGTTTTCTTGAAGAGCTGGCCTCCCAAGCGAAGACCATGAGCCAGAGTGATTTTCACCAAGCCATGCGTAATGCTGGAGTGCGAAGCAAGAAAAAGCCAGGCCCTATCCAGCCATTGCCAATGATATCGGATGAGTCGGGGACTGTCATCACCGGTTATAAACTGTTGGCCGAGAGATGGCGAGAGTACTTTTCCATGCAAGAAGATGGTGTTCCTCACGATCCTGAAAGTATGCTTGCCCTTTGCGATGAACTAGCCAGCCGGCCGAAGCCCCAACCGGCCTGGGATGACTTACCGACCTTCCTCCAGATCGAAAGGCAATTTCGCATGACAAAAAAAGCGAAAGCTTACTTTGTCGATGAGCTGCCAGGTGACGTGTTTCACATTGCGCCCTCTGTAATGGCGACCTTGTTTTATCCACTATACCTCAAAGAAGTCGTCTTCCTGCGAGAATGTTTTGTTCATAAAGGAGGCAACTTGGTGCCAGCCTATAAAAAAGGAAGCCCAGCGCAATGCTCAAGTTACAGGAGCCTTTTCGTCAGTTCACCGGCTAGCAAAGCGCTGCATGCAGTGTACAGGAAAGAGCTGATACAAGTCTTTGAAAACAACCGATTGCCCCTGCAACTCGGAGGAATCCCTGGACATTCGATTACACAAGCCGCACATGTCCTGCGGTTGTTCCACCGAAGTGCAGCAAGACAGAAACGCAGTTCAGCGGTCTTATTCGTTGATATAAGCAATGCCTTCTACCGGTTGCTGAGAAGGCACATAGTCAGCTCGCATATTGATGAGAGATCGATCAAAGCCCTTTTTGCTGATTCGCACTTGCCGCCAGAAGCCTACGCAGAATTCCAAGAATTGATGCGTCCTGGGCCGGCAATAGAAGCCTCCGAAGTACCGGAGTATGTAAAGCACCTATTCCAAGCCTTCTATGAAGCTACCTGGTATAGAATCAGAGGTACTGACACCCTAACACAGTCCCGCAGAGGATCCCGACCAGGAGATACGTTTGCAGATATGACTTTCGGATTTGCAATGAACCGAATCCTGGGCCCGGTCTTTCGAACTCTGACAGAGCAATTCCCTGAGCTGGATGTTCATGTGGCCACAAACATGGACCCATATGACGACACCGGCCCTCGGCAATCGCTTGGGATCCTAGCGCCAATCTGGGCAGATGATCTGGCCGTCTCGTTTAGTGCAAGTTCGCCAGAGCGGGTAGTCAGTCTCGCGCAAGAAGTCTCTGGACAAATCTTTGATAGGCTTACTATAGCGGGACTTACTCCGAATCTAAGCAAAGGGAAGACAGAGCTCATTCTAGACTGTCGAGGCCCGAACGCTGTACATGTAAGAAGAGAGCTATCGCACAACGACCATGCGATATCGACGACTTCAAAGTTACTCCTGGAGCCTTTGCGCATAGTAGGGAGCTATAAACACTTGGGCTCGTGGATCGAGACTAAAATCGGCGTCAGGAAAGAAGTTCGGACCAAGTTTGCGGCTGCACATGAAGTGTTAACCAGATATAGAGCACAGATCTTTTGCAACCGAAGACTTCCCCTTGATCGAAAGCGACTGTTTTTCGAGTCGCTAGTGCTCTCAACTATCATCTTCAATGCGGCTATATGGCAAGCACCGACACAAAGACAAGCCACCCTAATCCAAACGAGCTTTACAAAGCTCTATAGACGATTTGCAGTCCAACACTTCGGGCAAAAGGCCATAAAGTGGTCGACGAGGCAGGTGCTCTTTGAAACGGGACTACATAGTTCTGAAACTGTCATCTGTGTTGCCCGGCTACGATATGCTGGACATCTCGTCCATCAAGGACAGGCCCATCTATGGGCGCTTTTGCGCGAAGAACGACAGAGGTGGCACCAGGTCGAGGCAGACATTCAATGGCTGCAAATGTATTGCCCGGAAGCCGATGTTCCTCATCCGAGGCAGGATTGGAATGCATGGAAAGAACTTGTCTTGTCTTCGACAAATTCCTGGAAGTCTCTGATCCGACGAGCAGCTGCTCGATGTAGAGCATTTGAGAGCCGAAGATACTCATGGGAGGCATGGCACGCTGAAATTCATGAAGATGTTTTGCAAACAGGGGGTGTCGTGCCAGACATGCCGATAGATCAGTCGAAGCAGGGTAAACAACATTACTGTTTAAGTTGCAGAAGATGTTTCTCTACTGCATCGGCTTGTTCGGTCCATGCCTTCAAAGCCCATGATCGGATCACGAAGGCTCGGAACTTCGTTACTGGCACATGCTGTGAGATTTGTCTCAAGGTCTTTGCCTGCCATACAGACCTGGTCAATCACGTTAATAGAGGACAGCACTGTATGGATGGCTACATCCAAAAAGGCCAAAGAGTATCTAGAGAACCAGGAGTCAATAGTAGACTCGCGAACCAAAGCAGGGCAGACCTGCAAGAGCCGTACATGCAGGGTGAAGGTCCCTTACCGCTACCAGAGAACCAGGCTCCTGCGGATACTTTTGTAACGGCCCAATCAGCTGAATTGCAACGGAATTGGGAGGCATCAATTGATGGACGGCATGAAGCACGTGCCATCCTTGACTCGCTTCGCAAAGCCACCTGCCAAACATGCCTTTACCATGATGAAATTGTTGCGCTATTTGTTGGTTGGGGTAAAAAACGAATCGAACACGATGAAGAAGCATCACTAGCTTTTGTACAAGCTTTTGCATTGTTCCCTCGGTTTGCAACCTTCGAATGGTTTGTAGGAGAAGCACAACCAGTGACTTACGTGCATGAGCAAGCAATGGCCTTCTTCAGGCACGGCTCGGAACAGATGCATCCTTTGACCCTGCCGCGGCCTGAGCGTGTTCGATATCGACCCCGCATGGTTGCCCACCTATTCTCTGGAGCACGAAGAACCGCCGATGTGCAGGAATTCTTCGAGGCAAAAGGATTTGTCGCCATTTCGGTCGATATAATCTTTAACGCAGAGTGGGGTGACCTCAGCAAGCCCCAAACCTTCCATTTGTTTCGTGAAGCGATTCGTCATGGATGGTTGATTGCGTGGATCGCGGGGCCACCCTGCGAGACCTGGAGCAGGGCACGCGCAAATGAGATGCCAAATGGACCACGGCCTGTTCGGCGACGTGGATATCCATGGGGCAACCACGATTTGACAAGTCGAGAAGATCGACAAGTTACCATGGGGAGCCTCCTCCTGAGCATTGCCTTGAAGCTTTTCTGGACATCCATGGTGTATGGCGACACGGCGATCTTGGAGCATCCGGCGGACTTGGGAGACAGTTTGAATGCCCCAAGTATATGGAGGCTCAGCGTGATTTTGTACTTCCTTCGTTTCACATGTTGTGAAAAAGTTGACCTACTCCAGGGTCACTACGGAGGACTTACACCAAAGCCAACGACGCTTTTAGTAGCACACGGTGCTGAGGACAGTAGCCACTTTTTACAACAGCTACGGACCACCCCTCTACCGCGGCGCGCGGCCACGGGAAAGAATGAGGACGGAACGTGGAAAACTGCGGTACTAAAACAGTACCCAGCTGGGCTCTGTCGCGCACTTTGCAGCCTAGTGGAAGCAGGACAATCCCATAAGAGCAAAGATGGGGGTGAAATTCCCAACGAGTTTAGGGATGCTGTTGCTGACTTGTTACAGGATTTCAATTTCCAAGCTCAGATGGGACCTGACTTCCATGGCTGATGAATGCAAGAAATTCGAAATTAGATGCATTTCGACCGCGGGCGACAGCCTATGGTAACCGAAAGAGGAAAAGAGGGGGTCATGTTCAATGAATCAAGCTGGAAGCTGTTCGACATGTCGGTGGCCCATGCCCAAGTGTTTTCCCGCTCCGGCAGTTTCTGAACACTGGACAAGGTTAAATACTCACAATCACCCAGCAGCAATCACTGGAACCACGGGTGGCTTACTGGCGACTGCACTCCTGAAGTAGCCTGCGTCCAAATCACCCCTTTAGGGTGGGGATCACGCTTGGAAAGTACATTGGTTTCAGAGTAGATGGCACAAACTAAAACTACAGTATATAGATTTAAATATATATAAGATGTCTTTTTAGATTGGGGTCCATATAAACCACCAATCTTGGCGGCCCTTGTGCCATCCACTCGGATCACGCGAGGAAGCCTTCACCTCTGTCACCTGGGTCCTTTCTGGCGGTCTCCCAATCCACCGTGTCGCTGAGGAGAAGCGGCAACTGGACACAACCATGGACGCTAAGCTCAAAAAATGGTGAGAAAAGGCAAGATGGGAAAGGTGTATATTGGGTGCGTGGCATTGGAATATGGAGACCGCTCAACCCACGGGTTTTGTAGATGGATTTAGCCGTTTTTCCTTTTGCCAGGGGACCCTTTCAGGGTCTCCCTTTGAAATCCTTTGAATACACTTCTCCATGACCCGAAAACAACAAACTAAATCCTCTTTGATCATTTTTTTGATTCGGCTCCTTTTGTTTTGATCTTCAACATGGCTTGGAGTTTTGGGCTTATCCCGGATTTGCACAGACATCTATTTGCCAATTTTTGCCAGGTGATCAGAATGTAATATCACTCCATGATCCCCCACTTCAGAAAGGACCCTTGCAATTGCAAGTCTAAAAAACCTTATAAACGAATGGCCACTCGGTAAAGTAAAGACCATTAAATCAATGGTAGTTGGGGCTATTGTTTCCCTCTGATATATTGGGTGGCCAGATGTGGTGGCCACATGACCCATCGCCAAGCCGCTCAGGAAGCTGGCGTGAGTGCAGGCCTTCTTCCGAATCGAGTGTCCATCTCCCGTGCATGCGTGAAATCGGCACGGTCTGCAGGCGTGGTGGATCGACGCCGCAGGAGTCGCTGGATTCGGAGCTGGTGAAAAACCCGGGTTCAGCTGGCGGTTTCCGGAGCTCTTTCCCAAAAAGGTGTTGAATCTGAACGAACATCCTGGAAGAAATGTCCTTTTGAGGTCTTGGCATATGTATCGAGCTTGCCCTTTCGGTAGAGGAAGGTCTCGCCAGGGGAATTTCCTTTCAGATGCCGACGTCCTATATATATAGATACTTAATTACTGTATTACGCTAAGGCTATGTCTATATATATATGGTGTTATTTATTTATTTATTTATATACACATGTATATATATATATATCACTTTATAGATTAAGAATCAGTGTATTGACGCTTTTAAAAAACTTGTGAGTCATTCTTTGAGTCTTTGCTGTAAGAACAGCTGCCGCCTTTTGATTTGATATTGTGAGTTAACAACGTGTTTATTGAATTGTTCATTGACGGCTTCAAGCTTCTGTCGCAAAAGTTTCCGCAAAAGGGTTGGACAAACAGTGTATGCCCAGCGCCCGCAAAAGGCAGAACTGTGGCCGTGAAAGGACTGCGATAGCCTGTTGTGAAGGGATGCGGCAGTAACCAAGCCAGTTCCAATACGGCTTTCCCCTGTCCACACAGTTCACTTGGAAGGGCAACAAGCACAATGCAAACCTGCGTAAACCCGGCACAAACCCGCCCAACCTAATGCAGACACAATTCCCTAAAATTGTGCACCACCTCGATTCACCTGGGCTCCCACATCACACTGCATGCCCCTCCCTATTGTCATCCCTATATTGGCACTATCATATCGCAACAAGTTTGGACTTCATCCGTCAGTAACGAAGCAAAGTTCATTTGCACCTCTTTGCACCATGTGCGGAACCACCTTGCGCTGGAAGAACGGAGCTAGTCCCGCCCTTGGCCGCGGCCGGGCCCAACCAGGTCGAAGTCGAGACTCCGACCGCTCCCGGACGCGCAGCCGGAGCGCGGACGACCTGCACGATGCGCCCTGGAGGAAAGCAGCCCTGGAGGCGAGAGCGCTGGGTTTGGCCGGTGGGGCGGAGCGCAAGACATGGCAGGGTGGCGAGTTTGACAGGATGAAGAGAGGGTGGTTCCGAGAAAGCTCCAGGAAGTCTAAATGCAAACAGTGCAGCTGCCATGCAGTGTTTGTCCAAATGCGAATGTTTGCCCATGGATCCGAAAGGAGGCCCTTGGGATTTGTTTGATGTTGAAGCTTTATACAGTATATTATTTCATGAGCGAGTGGGGTCAGAAACAATGGGCCGAAGAACATGGGAGGAAAGGAGCAGCACACGAGACTGGAATATATGACCCTGACATGGCAATTCTTCGAGGATTCCTTGTGGGATTCTCACTTGCCCAAATACACCCCACACCTGAAGGCCAACCTCGTATACACTGCTGCTAATCACTCAGGAAACAGGAAGGGCATGGCAGTCCACTGTGCGAGTTGGACAAACCGAGGCAAAAAGAGCCTGAACATGTCCATGGTGGCTAATGACAGAGTAGTAGTCACGTGAAGAATGAGTGGGTAAGCTTCATGTTGCGTTCTGCACTCCAAACTGGTCAGCTCCACGCAGCTTCAAGTTTGAAGGTCAATCTCTTGTGTTGACATCGTCCCTGCGACTGCTAGGTGACCCAAGAGCAGAGAGAGAAGCACATGGCGCGGCGGTGCAAGGTTCCTGAGTTTGTTCAACAGAATGGTTCCCAGGACCATCCTGTCAGGGATCTTGGGGCGCCCAATTGAAGCACACATAGATAATAACAAATCTATTGGTGCCCCCCCCAACAGATGCTCCTGGTAGAGACTTTTGATGCCTTTTGTGATCGGCAAGAACTGACTCTCCAAAAGTCTTAGAGTATGTTCGAATGAAAGATTTGTAACAACAAGGGGTGGGTATGTCTCCAAATTTGCTATCATTCGAGGGACCCCTTAATAATGTATATCCACTGGAGGGTAATGTATTCAATACATTTGGGTGAGTTGGTCAGGAGTCCAGCAGTGTTGAAAGGACCCCACTCAAAGGTTTCTGGGTAACAACCGAACAAGATTTTTTTCGATCTTTCTTGTGTTTTTTTCCTGCTTCTTTGCGTCCATGCTGTCAAGCTAGTGTGCTAGCGATGGTGCCAGTGTCAATGAAGAAGGCTACCTGGACAATGCAACAGGATGCTGTCCATCCGACTGGATGCCACAGGAACTTCTCGAGACAGCCACCTAAGAAGCGGTGGGAAAACCTTCTTTGTTGTGCCCACCCTTTGGTGCTCTGTGGCAGCATCTGCCATGGCAACAGCAAGTCCGCATCCAGACCTTCTGCTTCTACACACCTCTAGACATCTAGATCTCTAGGCCTCAAAACAATGCTTGGGGTCTCTTTCGGGGACATGATTGAAAACATGTTCTTGCAAATCTATATAATATCTTCCAATATTATCCAAGCCGAGCCCATTGTTTTTTTACAACGCTCTTATGAAAAGCTTCGCCTCAACAATCTTCAATTCTGTGCACAATAGAAAGAGGGTTCACAATTATTAATAGGACCTTTCCATATTCTGGCTCCTGGTTTGCTTTGGAATGTGTTCCTTGACATGGCTATTTCAATATTATTCTTGCAAATCCAAACTTTCCAGAGTCCAACCGCATAATAATAGGTGTTTAAATGTTTTTAACAAAACTGTTTGTGAACAACTTCAACAGTCTTGAAAAGGGTGCCCCTTACAAGTGTCCAGAATCATTGTGTACTCTGCTTTGTTACAATTGTATGGTCACGCATGGCGGAAAACACTTGAAGCACGGATTTCTCACCTTTGCAATCAAAAACGCGAAAACACATCCAGAATCTCAGCCCCTCTTTCTTAGTGTTTTCCTTCCTTCTTCTTGATGTTGTTTTTTTGTTTTCCTTCTTGTTCCTGTTCCTTCGCTTTCTTCCTTGTTACTGTTTCGTTGTGGATCTGTAAAGGTTTATTTCTGTGAGCCAGTGAGTTAGGTCCCGCTCGGTCCCTTTAATTTCATTTGGGTTTTCGAACGGTGCCTTTTTTGGTGTTCATTCCGTCTGGGTGTTCAGTCACCTCGACTTGTTGTGAGGCAAAGGCGAGGCAAGCGCAGAAGCTCCAATCGGGGCACTTTACCGCTGCAGACCTGATACTTGGACGGAGAAAAGGCGAGGCACACCTGCGTGTAGACCAACGTGCCACCTGAAAGCATCTCTGGGGTGGCTGGAGACACAATCTCACCATTGCCTCAAGCGAAGGCGCTGCCCGAGTCATTTTGGCAGTGGTATCACTGGGGCGGTGACACGACGGAACAGGGAATTCATATGTATATAGTATATATATATAGTTCTTGGCTGGAAACGGCAAACCAAATTGATGTTCGTGACAACGGTGGCCAACCAAACAGCTGCAACGCCTAGTGATCTCATATTTTGGAACATCTCGGAGTTAGCAGGTTCATGTTTGTTTGCCGGGGGGTTGCTGATCCATGGTGGGTCATAACGGCTTTTGCAGCTCTTCGTGCAGAGGGGCACCTGAGGAACCATGCGAAGCTAAGACGTGAACAACATCTTCCAAAACCTAGGAACAATGTTTGCTACTGGCATCGCTACTAGGAGTTACTACTGTACTAGAAACAATGTTCGCTACTAGGAGCTTGATGTGTTCAGTGAGGATCGAACTCTGAAGTGTTTGGCTGCAGGAACCCTTCTACTGGCTTGCTACTCTAGTGTTCCATCCAGTTCTGAATGCTCAACATAGCCGGCCCCGGGGTTAGGCGGCTGCAATCTGCCACTCCGATGCTGAGTTTTGTTTTGGTGGGTTTTTTCGTGCTGAGGAAATATGGGGCTCAATCAGGCAATTGGCTGCTGGCACCCAATGGGCAATCTGACATTTGCCGCCTATGCCATGCAGCACTGCGAAAGAGGAAGGCATGAGACCCAAAAAGAATGCTAGCTGCCAGTCTGGTTGCCATCATTCTGCCGCTCATTGCATTTTCGATCTAATCATAGGCGTTTTTTGCCCTGCAACTACCTCAAGCAACGAACTTGGCAATTTGCCCCTGATAGCAGGGATGCTCTTGGTTCCAGCCGTGCCCGTTTGCATCGTTACGATGCCAACTGGCGTGAGTTGTGTGGTGAAGGTTTGCCGCTCTGTTGCGACTCCTTTTTATTCCTTTTCCAGATTCAGGTCCGCATGTTCATCGAGCTACTGTTCCAATTCCATGAAGGATTCAAGTTTAGCGAGAGCGAAGAGACCCACACATCAGGCTGTGCCGCCTCACTGTCCCAGGAGCAATCGTCTCTCTCCCTCTCCCTCTCCCTCTCTCTTTCTGTTGCACCTTCGTTTGACAGGAAACTCCACTCAGAATCTTGCAGATGTCAACTTTATTGAGACCCCAGTTTCTATCTTTCACCTACGGTTTCCATTTGCCTACAGTATTTTCCAGCTCCCAAAGGCGGTTTACATTATCAACTTGTAATGCAGCGAGCACAAATGATTGCCGCTTCTGTGCCTCCCAAGCGCAAGGAACGTAAGGGTGGAGCGAGGCAAAACAACCGGTGGTATGCATGATTGTGCATGTAGTGTCCACCTTTTTGAGAGTTGCGTCCGGCTTGACCAGAACATGCCGCCTCGCACAGCTCATATGATAATCTCTTCAGAAGTGCAGCAAGTATGTGATTTTTGCTCAGCCAACTTCCAGCATTTCTTAAGGTCCAACCCTTCCAACTCCCAGCTGCACGAACCAACTCCCAGAGCTTGGATGAGCTCGGTATATTTCATGGGTCAATTTTCTCCGCGTGGTGGAAGCCAGCGCCCCGCAAGGCAAGTCAAAGCGTGTCCAAAACAGCATTTCGTTTGAACATTCGCTTAACACTTCGAGCTAGAAAGCCTGGTTCTCGAAGAGGGTGATTCATTTTACCAACATGCACAAGGGTAGATTTCAGCCATGGCCATGTTGGGCGATGATTGCTGTGGCCATTGCCAAGCACTGCGTGGATGACTATGATCACTTGAAGGCCGCCACCGGCCGAAGCCAAGGCAGTAGAAGGAAGAACCAGAAATGACGAGCCTTCAGGACACCCCACATTGAATGGAGCTGCAATTGATTGCAAGTGCACTGGGGGCAAGGAGGCCTCCGACCAAGTCTGGCATGTTTTTTTGCGGCCAGTTCCCTTCTTCCAACCAGTAATCATGTGATGTAGATGTGCAGAATTCCCTCAAGTATATTCCACCTATAGTGCCTACATCGACCGTGCCAGTGCCATGTCATTCCAGTTGTTTTTCAGGCTTGGAATGACTGGTTGAGAACCCTCAACTCCAAATTGGGGTGGGGCGCTTCTTCCATCTTCTTCCCACACCGGCGGCTCTAGAAGCGGCTTCAGGCCGGTGAGACTTGCACTGCCAAGTTAAAGGACCTCAGCTCAGGCGAGGACTGGATGGGAGGACTGGACGTGTTGGAACGTATTTTGAAGGCTTTGGTCATCTTTGGTCCCTATGGATTGGAAATGGTCGGAATGTTTTTTGCAGCGTGACCAGACATTTTTGGGGGGGCATGGCTGGGATATGTTTCAAACCACCAACCAGCTGATGCTGATGGATGATGTGATGCGGTCAGATCTTAATATGTTTGATGCCCCAAATCTTGAGGAGGATCATCATCCATGAGTCCATGAGCTTGTGCCTATTCCAGTGATCAATCTTTAAGTGGGAAAGGGTCAGCATGGGTCAAAACCCCAAGAGGAATGAAGAGCCAAGAGTTCCAAAAGATGATGCTCCTTCATCAGGCAGACATGGGGTCTTCATTTTTGGCCCTCCGCAGGAACCGCACTCGGCAGGGAGCATCTCTGGATCTGCGCACCTTCCAAGAATGCCCTGAAAAGGCATCCTTCCATATGCACAGATCAAGAGGGCCACCTGTTGAGTGAGATTCCCCACAAGAGTTGATGCCCGGCTCATGAGACCTCCGGAGGAAAGCATCCCTTGTTGCCGACACAGCCCTCGCTGGGCTATGCCTGGGTTCATCGCGAACAGGACGAAGAGGGACCACTTTTTAGCAGATGGAAACAATGAGATGGGCCGAGCTCAAAGCACAAGCCATTAATTCTACCAAGGAATCTCGCTAGACTAACCAAGTCTGCACGAGGATTAGTTCCACTTGCCGCATGGACAGGCCTTTTAGTTGACCAACACTTGCTGTTTGCATCTCTGTGGTGGGCCATATTGACTATAATTACAAAAGCCCGACTGCCAGAAGCCCGACTGTGGCGCGCACATGCGCAGCCGAAACTGGTCACTTTTTAAAAGCGCAGCTTTCACACCTTGACGTGTGGCAACCCGGAAGGAGGCCCATTTCTCATCGAAGAAGTCCGCCAAGGAGGAGTTGAAGCGCCCCGGTGGAGGACATTTTGAGCTGTATCCCCAAACAAATTATATAAGAGAATTTGATCGGCAGGCACCCAACCCAACTGGTTAAATTGCTGGAGAATGTCACCAGTTTTCTTGAAGCTGCAGCAGCAGTGTTCTACAAGTAGTTACAGTCGTTGAAAGCTTGCCATTCAGGGAGCGGCTCTAGCTGGCTGATGTCCTCCAAAGGGGATGGTATTGTATAATTTCACTGGTTTGGCTGTTGGCTAGGTTTTGAGACAGATCTCTGGCGTTGGGCTTTGAACATCACGACAGTTTGGCCTGATTCTCCAGTTCTGAACCCAGAACCTCGAGCCAAGGAACACCAAGTTCCCTGTGGTGCGCCCGCCAAGGCAGTTCTCATGAGGTCGACCTCGTTCGTGCAGCGACGAGACGAGACGAGTTGTGCACTTCGAGGTGGATGATATTGGAGGTTCCATACCTTCAACATGCCCAGTCATCAAAGTGGAAGAGACCCTTGGGGGAGATGTGTTTTAAAGGCTTTGGCTTTCCACTTCCATGTGAGTTCTGGACGGCTGTGTGCATACAAGTAGCGAGAAGTCCCGGAAAACGGTTTGTTTTGTGACATCCTCGAGATTTGCAGTCAGTCAAAACTCAAGGAGACTGGGCAACCAAACCTAACCAAACCCAGACCCAGAGACTTTGCAGATTTTGGCCCTCTGAGCATGCTCACTTGCGCAGGTACTGGGCAACAACAACTTCTATTTGACAGACAGACATCACCACATTGCCGCCATGTACCTGTCCGACGACCAGGCGTATCTACCAGCGCTATTGGTCCAGACGTGCGTGCCAAAGCACCAGTCCACCGGGGTCTGGGCTTGGTTGGGTGGAAAAAAAACCCAGCATGAAGCAATACGGGATCGCAAGGTGAATCTCATCAACCCAAGTGGATGGGGATCCACCTCGTGCGTGACATGTTCATGCTGCTTGGGGTAAACAGAGCCGCCTAGTGAGCTGGAGCCGGCGGGTCGCAGGACATCTTCGACCTGGACATGGATGTCACCGCACCTCGGACCGCTCGCGCCTCCGGTCGATCTGTGGACGTTCCGAGGTCCAGAACTGGACACGCTCGTTAACCATCGTGAACCTTAGGAGCGGTCCGACGCTACGGACGTAGCTCCACAAACCAGTGGATCCAGAGGTGGGGCCTTGGGTGGTCGACCACTTGTCTGCCTGGATGTCGTCGGATGGCTCCCTGGAGCTTGAACGAACATGAACGAAAAGCACCCGCCATGCCGAAGCATACTGAAGTGTGAGCACTGTGAGCCAAAGGTTTCCTGCCTTGGGGGATGGCAAATAAGTGCACATAGTCATCAATCTGTCAGATCTACGGGGTTGCAAGACATGGTATGGCCTAGTATATTGGTTGGTAATGGGGGTGCCTTCTATTGGGACAGGGGCAGTTGTTAGACGCCGAGTTGCCTTTATTTAATTGCGATTTTGGGTGCAACCACGCTAGGACCACGGGTCCAGATAGGCCCACTCATGGAAACTCATACTTCCAAAACCTTGGAGGAGGAGTCCGCCTCGCCCCATTTGCGGAGTTTGCTGGTGACGCATGCAAAAAGCTTATGGAGCATGCGTCGATCGTGCGGCCAGGTATTTTGGGCCGGTCCCCATGTCTGTCTGAGAAAGCGTGCTGCGTACACCTACTTCGTCATCTTCCCAAAGAACTACAAAGTTTCAATACAAGTTTCACCACCCAAACCTCATGAGGTCTTTGGATGGTCTTTGGGAAGTAGAAGCCTCTTCAAATGAAAGAGCAGGGTTGGCAGGTGAATGTAGGTGAGTAGATGCTGCATCTAAACCATTCTAAACCAGTTGTTCAGATGCAAGGCCCCATGTTTTTCTCCTCAAGATTAGAGGGCACTTGTTCATGTGGTTCCGCCCCGGAAGCAAGGTGATTTGTGATTTGAGAACGCTAGGCCAGGTGTTGGGCGGGAGTGCTTGCTGCCCACGGGGACACAGAGCCCCAAGACCCGGTGGGGCCGCCAGGTGATACAACTGAGCTTGTCACGGGGGCCGACCAGATGAGGTTCATACGAGGTTCATACGAGGTTCTTGGATCGGTCAGGGCCCATGACGGTGTCATGGCAGATAGAACCGGGGGAGTCCTTTGCAGTTATACGTAGCTGGGTTTAAACACTTCCCCACCACTATCCTTGTATTCTTCAGTGCAGCAAACACCCGACAGGCAATTCAGAGTGGAGGTTCGGGGCAACCATTGCAGCACCTGGGACCCTATCACTGTCTTGGGTCCTTGATGTTGAGAGATGCTGATGGATTCTGATCGCGTGCGGTTGGAAACATCAAGATACACACTGCCCAAGATACTGCCCAGGAAACATACTTTATTTTTTGCAGACCAGTTGTGAGGCGTTCCCGAAACTGATGGTCAAAAGTGGCACTCTTCACCACGATTACTGTATATAGACTGGTATGGCAGGGGTGCACAAGCGGGGAAGTAGACACTCCTTCGCTCCTTATTGTGGAGCCATGGCCGCTTGCGCTCTGCCAGGTTCAGAGGACTTTTGGCTGAGGATGGAGCAGTTGAACTACGTTTTCCTGCAGACGCGTGCAACTTGACCGACAGACGCGTTCAAGGATGTTCAATCGATCGCGTCTTCGGAGGGGGTGATGTGTTTTCCTGGACAATTCCGGAGATTGGCCACCATTTTGTACATGCTGATGGATGAGTGCCAGAGCTTTTCTGCAAGCTGCCGGACATTCGATCTCCTGAGCTCAGAATTGGTGACCGTCGTGACCATTTTCTCCAAGGAGGGACGAACCAGAAACGCTGACCTACAAGCACAATTCTTACAAGTTGCAACCAACCTGAAAACGATTGCGTTTCTGATTGTATTATGTTGAGGAAGTTAAGCTTCCACTGGGTGCGATCAAGAATATCGGAAAGAATATGAACACCAACTGAAAGGATAAGGAGGACAAGCAAAACATATGGGAAAGACCATGGGGAACAAATGGGGACACTCTTGTTTCCTACTTTCTGCCTCGCTTTTTTACAATGTTTCCCTATTAATTGACAATGAGTTCAATGAGGTATCTTCCGAAGACTGCAAATCTGGCAGGTGGCTCCAAAAACAAAATGAGGGACACGAGGGAAGTCATAGGAAAAACAACCTGAAAACAGTACAAAGAAACGCCAATATATAATATGAACAATCTGGAAATACATAGGGGTCCCTTTTTCCCTATTGTTTTCCTATTCTTGATATTCTTGATCCTATTGTTGTAATTTGAATTGTTTCTGACATGTTCCAGTTTTCTTACTTTTATTGAACTCTTAATTTCCTGCTAGTTTTGTTATGTCCAATCCCAAGCTTCATTTAGCTGAATAGAAGGTAAGCGCTAAGTGCATTGTTTTCAGTTACACTCCCTGAATAGATGGCCCCTCGGATGACCATATCTCTGTTTAAACATGTGGTTTTCCATGTTGGTGGATTATTTATTGCAGGGAGTGGAATCACCAGTGGCGAGGTCCTTATGATCATGACGACAAATAGTTCTTGAAAAACTCGACCCGTGCAAGTCTGTGGTGTCTCGCGGCTTCGCGATGCCTCGCGATGCTTCGCGATGCTTCGCAGCTTGCCTGGCGCGGTTTCCCAAGGAGTCGCCTTTTGTGCTTCCCAACGCCGCATCAGTGACTTCGTTGCCGACCACTTGGAGCCTTAGTTGAGGACTGCGGCCCAGATGTTACATAGTCAGGAATTCGGATGTGGTGGAACAAGCGTACCGTCCATAAAACGACCCATTCTGTCAGTTACATAAGGTTGACTTCCAAAAGCTCCAAGGCCTAGAGCACCAATGCTTCGTCCTCGGTACCGCTGTTCTCATGGGGCACCGTTCGAGCGATTGGATGAAGGATCACAAGGTGTAGGACCAAGACTTGAAATACTCAATTCCCCACACACAGACACAAAAGGCAGACACACTCACACTTGTTGGTGTGAGGCATGCCAGGCGATTACGTACCGCTCATCCTCCAGCTCATGTAATTGCCGCTGGAACGAAGACTAGTTCCCTTGCAGCTCTAGGACTCTAGGGCTCATTCCAGCCACCATGTGGACGCTGTGATCGGAGTGGGCATCCAGTTGCACCAAGGTAAAGAAGATGGCACGACTCTCGATGTTATTGCACTTCTTTCAGGGGTAGTATAGACCATTCTAATCCAATACAATGGGAGTCTTGCCATCTAGCTTTTATGAACATGGGTCCGTTCCAGATGTACTTCGGCACAAGGCGCGACATGAGGGCTTTGACATACCAAGGACTCTGGAGAGTTTCCAAGACGACGTGTGGCGCAGCGTGGCCGGTTTTGCGGATCACGTCTCGGATGGCAAGAGCCGGTGCTACCTGAAGAAATGCCAGGATCAGATTCTACGGTCGAGGGTTAGCCTGTCCCCATCCTGTCCCCATCTTTGATATACATTGTTCACGCATGCGGACACACTTCAGGCATGGCTTGAAGTTGGTATTTGGATTCACTTGGCCCGTGAGCGGTTTTGGGCGGTCCTTTCGGCGATTACATTCATGATGGAATGTTATGTACCCCCTTTTCAGGAAGCTTTAGTGACCTTAGATGATGTTGAATCACCGCAATCAACCACCCCGGAAACATGCCACGGCGTTTTCCTCCTGCGTGTTGAAGATTGTTGCTGCGACCATGCTTTTTCTTGTGTGGGGAGAGGGAGAGAGAGAGACGGAGAGGCACCAAACATGGAAGACTTACACACCAGATTCCATGTTTGACTCGCCGTGGATCCATGAGACACCCCTTGAGGGGTCCTGGCGCCTGTACCTGCAAGCATTGAGAACAAAGGGCTTTTGAACTTGTGTTTGGAACATGTTTTGGGTCGACTGCTTTGCACAGTCAGCTCGCTAGAGAAGGATGCCCGCCCAAAGTGGCCGAATGGACACGGACCTTGAGAACTCTGGGGCCTTCAGCCGTGGGGGGTTCAAGCAAGCCCCGCAGCAAAAACAGATATCCTGTTGATGTGGCACCTAGAAGTTTCGGCTGCCTCAAGGAGTACTTTGTGGATTTCCAGTGGGGCTATGCAATCAACAAGGCCACTGACACTTGGAAAGCATTTGGACTGCACATGTCACAAATCGTTCATCCTTGCATTTGATGCCTTCTCGACCACTCAAGGCATATCAAGGCATGAACTCCACACTGTTCCAGCCTTGGTGCTACCTCCATGACGTGCCACGTGCCTTCTCGTGCCATGCATCTTCCATTTTGTGCCAGGCACGTTTGGGTTCTCAATTCTTCACGGTCCACCAGGTTGCTACTCCCCCCTTGTGGCATTTGGATGCATTTGGCAGGTTTCTCCCAAAACCGAGGAAGAGGAGCCAAGTCTTTGGCCTTCGGGCCAGCAGCATGAGTCCTTTCGCCAGAAGCTTCACGCCTTGCCTCCATCGCCGGGTCGCCCAAGAACCCGGCAGATGAGCACTTGTTGCCCGGCGATGTTGAAGTGGAACACATGAGTCGTGTGTCCAACCCTAACAATTGCAATGACCGCAATGGCCTCCACCTAATTGCAATGGCTTCCACCTACTAGCGATGGCCCCCACCTAATAGCGATGGCCTGGAATAGAATTGCAATTTTGCTTCAACACCATTTGTCCAGTCTATTTGGCGCCTTGTGCCAGTAGATTGGTGCGCCGTGGTCGGTTTCCACATCCATTTCGAGATGGTTCTTGAATGGCTAAAGGATGCTAAAGGCTAAACTAGACAAACATAGCAAATCAGAAAGAAAGACATCCCAAAACACATCCAAACCCAGACCCCCTAAGCTGATGAGACTCGTCGCCAGGAGAGGCTCTGTGGACCTCAAGTCCTGGGAGGAGCTGTCCGCGACTCGTCGGTGGTTTCGGCGGAAATCTCTGGCAGGGCTGCGGAAAAAAGTGAGGGTAGATTCCTAGTGGCCCATGGATTCTTGACAGCTATATAGTTGCCAAGAATCCATAAGAATCCAATATTATACGATTGTTTCACGAGAACTGGTTTGCCCTTGGCTCATGTGGCATCTCACATCGGAAAGCTCTGGGCGGAAGCCACTTGATCCCATGTGTCCGGCGTGCCTTTGCTTCGTACTACGCAGCACATGTAGATCGACAAATTTTAGACCGGCTACCCGTCGCCATCAATGCGCTAAGTGATTCAGAAGCTCTCCCTAAGCTTTCCAGCTCCGATGATGAAAGCTCCTACCCTACCGGCAGCTTGCAAAATGCTCGTGAACAGGGTCAACCAACTGCGAAACAGGAGCTCGGCCAAATGGTCCTGCCGCTGTGCCACGGGTCTCTGCTACGCGACATGCCTTTGCCGCCAGGCGGAGGGGTTGACGACTCAAGGGAGCAGAGTCGGGTTCCAGATGAAGAGCCATCCGCAAGAAAATAGAAAATGGAAAGAGAGCAAACAAGTCCATGCTTCTAGTGGGGAAGAGGGGAGATCAACATTTGGTCCAATTCAAGTGAAGGAGTGAACAGAGCAAAAGGGAACGCCGCATGTGTCATGGTGTGTCATGGTCCATTGAGGTTGTGGCAGGAGTTGAAAGGCCAATGTGTGTGGGAGGTGTTGAGCTTTGTGTGCGTGTGTGGGTTGGCTGAATCATGATGAGTACGGGCATCATGTGGCCCTGCGACGGGCAATGATGCGAGGATGCGAGGCAAGAGTTTGGCCCAGGTTTGGCAATGTTTGACCTGGATTTTGATTGTTGCGCGCGCAGGCTATTCATCTTCCACGTTGCAAGGGTGGTCTGCGATGTGCCCTGACAGTTATTGACAGTGCCTCGGGATCCAGGAGTTTGGACTTCAAAGGCTGAGAAGCATAGAGCTGTTGTTGAAAAAGAAGTCCTGCACCAGCTGAAGCCATCTCGAACCACTTGCAGGCCCCGTGAAGTCTCTGATGTAGACTCTCGATAAAATTAATACACCCACCCCAACGGGGGCAGACGGCAGACGATGATTTGTCCACTCACTGAGAGCTGTGAAAAGTAAGGACCCCTTTTTGGAACCTCTGGTGTTTTGTTCAATTGTCCAGGTAGTTTATGAACATGTGATTTTTTTGAACTCATAATGGAGTTTTTCCGTTGGAGGTGTTGCCTTCTCAGCGGAGTGTAGGCTGCAGAGGCTCTTGGGCAACCACAGTGATCATAGGAAGAGTCAACCAACAATGCCATGTCCCAGAGCCACCCGAAACGTTCACAACAAATCCCACCAATTCCACCAACAACACGAACTGAACCTGAACCAACATCACAAAATAATGGCTTTTCGCTTCAAGTTGGATGCGCGAACCTTGGTTCGCACGTGCCGTGGCGACAACTTGGTCCCCCCGCAGATCTGTGAAGCCATCAATCCACCTGTGATGGCTGCTTACCCATTGTGATGTCATTGGGATGTTCACCAGGCTTGGGCCAATTAAGTGCCTGAAGTGAAAGATCTTTTACTGTACGTATTTGTGTATGTCATGTTCATAAAGGGCGCGAGATTTCAAGAGCTTCTGGCCTCCTATTTAAATGGATATATATATATATAACTACCATAAGGGCGTTTGGATGCATGTTTCAGCAATGCCCAACTGACATCTACAGGCCTCACCCTTGGATCTCTCCAAGGCCTGTCCCTGACGACCCCAGTTGCGGCTATGACACCTGCAGGCTGGCCCGCAGGGTCTGGCCGAGCGGTTTCCCAGCACCCGTAGTTGCTTTCGATTGGAAGATGCTAAGTCCTCACCCAATGGGAAGGGACCCACAAGCGCGTCAATTCGGATATGCAAAGTATATAAATACTGGCACTGGTGTTCGTGCAGATGGTCACAACTGATGTGACCCATAGGGCAAACCAACAACAGCACAATGAACAGACCACCAGACCCTTTGCAGGTTGAGTTTGTCGAATTCATCATCCCTGTGCCATGTTTTGAGTTCTAATTGCTCAATCCATGATTGGTCGAATTTCAAGCTACGTCAAGATGCTTCGACGGGGCAACCCTCTCTCACCACAAGAGTAGTTCAGCTAACGCCTACGCCGTACGTCGCTGCAGCAGTCGGTTTGTTCGACCAAGGGAAGACAAGCATTCGACCTGTTGCCGTGCAATTGACACACACACACATGTATATATATAACTATATATATATATTATATATATACATGTTATACATAGTGCCTAAATATAGATACATAGATACAGAGACAAGTGTTTACTACTAGCCACGCGGCATCCAAGGCATCAACAAACTAGACTTGTATAAACCTTTTGCTCGACACTTTGCCTCACTAACATGGACCAGCATAGCATGGCTTTTTGGAAGATTGTTTTCCTCCACAAGCAGTGGGCGGGCGTTCCACCAAAGCATCTTAGCAAGTCAGAGTTCACATCCTTACTTCGCATCACACTGCTAAGATCCCTCAACATGTTGGAAAGGTCTTCCTCTTCATGCTTGCAGAACGGGAAGCAAAGACATCTTTGGCAAATCTCCCCATATGTGGAAAAGGCACGCCGGGCGCCCCCGGCGACGTCCAGATAAGGAACACGCATAGAAGATGACCAGTTGCGCCCAACAGTTGCGCTGCAATGTGCTCCAAATGTTGGGATCATGTTTGCGGGATTTTATTTGTCAAATCTCGAAAAAGACATGGAAACGGTCGGATCTTTCCCTTTCTCAGGACAGCTGAGAACGGCCTCGTGATCATTTAGCCGCCCGGTCCGCGGACTATATCGGCGCGAAACCGAGATCTAGATCGGTGGCCTGAGAAAGCGAGAAAGATCGCAAACAAATAGACCAAACATTCAAGTAGGGGATCCAACTAAGGGCGTTGGGGTGGGATTGACGAATTCTGTGGGAGGGGTAGCAGTCAACACTTCCCACAAATTTGTTACTTTACAGCTGTGCGCGGAGCTGCTTTGCATCATTTCCAATTTCAAGCCCGGAAACTCATGTGGTGGGCGTCGGCGTGGAGCGCTGTGGTGCCTGGGCATTGCTGCGCACTTGATTCGAAAAAGTGGGCACTGTTGGAGTTGTGCCCTGGGCCTCAGCATCGCACGAAGTCAGTCGGATTCAAGTGTGGTGATTATCAATTGCAACTCGGTCACCGGTTTTGGCGCTTGTTTTGTTGAACATTGCTGAGATCATGATTCTGCTGTGGTGTGTGCATGTTGTGGAAGAAGCATGTCCGGCAAGTACCCTGTCACACATTTTCCAACAACCTTTATTACACAATCCCAAATGCAGTTGGTGTCGTCTCACACATCCATTCATTGATGCTCAGAAAGCATAGTGGCAAATGAGAAACAGTAGTTACAGTAGTTGGCCCTTCTTTTCATTCCTCATCATTCTTTGCAAAACCAACCCACCTCACTGTGCATTGAAGTACCTGTCGCCCCCTTGGTCACTCAGCGGCTGCCACAGCGAAGAATCGCAGCCTTTAAATCCCACCAAAGTGATAAGTGATAAGTGATAAGCGGATTGACCCCAGAACTGTATAGAGGAAAGTCTTTATATGTTTGTTTTTGTGGAGAGGAGCAGTATATTGTTATTTACCCAACATTTTCCAATTCCATGATCGTTAGAGGGATTCTAGGATCCCAGGCCGATTTTGTGCTTTTTTTGCCATCGCGGATCAAGTCAATAGTTGCCGCAAGGAGCGCAGACAAGAGACAACAGGCTGACTAAAGAGAATCGCACATCTCCCAAGCACTGTAAGCACAGGACCACCCCTCCAAGTCAGCCCGTACCATGTTGAAGCGACAGCCCTTTTACCGTACTTCCGGCTTGAATGCATCTTTTTCCATCAATGTTCTTCAATTGTCTTACACAGATGTGTAACTTAACTATGACACCGATAATGTGAAGTAAACTAAACACATCAACCCTCCAGTTCTTACATGCCATGTTGCCTCACCTGCCCACAGGCAGCGCTCAAAGGCACTGCATCGACGCACCCCTCGCGGATTGGGTGCTGCACGCCATGGGGGATGGATGCGGGGGGGATGGGCTGGCTGGGCTTGTTGAGGGGGAACTCTTGGGCTGGCTGGGACAAGGTCTAAGAATGCCCTAGTCACATCCACATCCACCTATTGAATTTCAAGTCTTTCTCCATAGGTATAGATCCACGGGTTTGGCCGGTGGAGGCCCGATCCCCGATCCCACGTGGTGCACCATGCCCTGTTTTACTGCCCATAAGTAGGCTTAAGGGATATGAGATGATATGATATTCTGATACATAAGAAGGGCACTTAGCTGGATGACCTTCTCCAGGAATATCCCATTCCTTTGATGCCTCATTTGGAGGGTGCAGCGAAGTGCTGGTTCGTTTGCTGTTCTTCGTCCCCGCGGTGCCGATGACTCGTAGCAACAAATGCCGTCAACTCTGGGCCAAAGTTGCCCCACGTTGTTGGTTTTGGCATGGCGAAGCTCGCTTCCCTGCCACTTTGGGGCTTGGCCTTGGGCTTTCTTCAAGGAGAGGCCGAAGATGGCCGGAGAAATGCGGAGGGCATTCGGTTCACTACGGAAAGGAAAATAACTATCAACTATATAATTGTAATTGTAGTGCTGAAAGGCAAACTGATTTGCCAAAGGCGCTTGAAGGCCACCGGAGTGTCTTCAAACAGTTTACTACGGCCGCTACTGAGAGACAGTGACTTCCGGTGCTGCGTGGTGCACCGATGTGCACCACCGACCAATCACCACCATCCGAGACGCCGGGCCGAGCACAGCTCTCGTGCTACTTGCTCCTAGTAGTACGGCCAGGAGCCACTAGTAGCGTCCTTGCTCCTAGTAGCTTCTTGTTACTACTAGTAAGGCACTTGTTACTACTAGCGTGGCACTTGTTCCTAGTAGTAATGCCAGGAGCCACTCGTAGCGTCCTTGCTCCTAGTAGTGATGCCCTTGTTCCTAGTAGCGTTCTTGATCCTTCTATGCTCCATGACTTAGGGGGTTGGCGCGTTCCACCGATCGAACGGAGTGAGAAAGGAAGTCACTCCATTAAGACTTAGGGAGTGGGTGGGGCACTCTCCACGACCGGTGGACATATGATGACCTTAGGGTTCCCCATGAAAGCCTCCACTTTCTAAGATGCATTCCAAGATGCGCTGTCAGAGCCACATGCTTTGCAGTGTTTTTTTATCGTTAGGCGTTCGACACTAAAACACCCCACTTTGGCAGCAAGGAATTGGTGAAGCTGCCATGGATTGTTGTGACATTGATGTGACGATAGCATTTTGGTCACCATTTCAGTGACGAAGACATCAAATCAACCCGTCCTTGCCCGAGGCAAAGTATTGGCAGGTCATCACGGATGGGGCGCCGAAAGCACGTGCCTCATTTGCAAGCTCCTAAATATGTTTAGGAAAAGCTGAGGCCCACATGCTCTGAGGCTTCTGAGCCGATCACCTCTTGAAATGGTCACCCCTGCTGAGTGGAGGAATCCTGGAGGGCAGACCCACACACACACACACCCACACCCACCCACACACATAGCACGCACACACACACACACACTCTGACAATTGTATTCAGTTAACTCAGTTCCCCAAGGAAAGGAATGCCTCAACGGTAAGGTGAGGAGTCCGATCAATTGCAGATGTTTGAACACGTGGTTTGTGCGCATCTGCAGACTCGCGACAGCAGCGGACGAAACGGCGGCGCGGCTGCGGGGGAAGAAAAGGTTTAGGGGGAGAAACATGAACGACCATGGCATCAAAACACAGCAAGGAAGAGTGGAGTGGTATCACGGCGCAGGTACGTTTTCCTGATCGTCCAGTGTGGAGCTTCGTTGGCAGAGGCCACGACTGGAGATCCCTCTGCCCCCTGCATTCAAAACTCTTAGTTACAGAGGTTAGAGGTGGAACCCTTAGATACAGGGGGTGACACACACAAACCGCCGATTCCGGCGCAAGTGTGTAGAACGTTGAAGGTGGAACTTTGTACAGAAAGCGCCAATATTGGCGCTGCGAAAAACTAATAGCCACCTAAAAAGCCTTAGAAAGACAGACAAAGCAAACAAAACAAAAGCAGACTAAGAGGGCAAGAAAGAAAGATAGGGGTAGTTACGAGGCCCACTTAGTTAAATGAAAGTAGAGCGCGAGCGGGACATTTGTCTTAAACCGCCCGGGTAGCTAGCAATAGGCTAGGAGAAACAGAAGGAAAGGCACCAACACACAAGTGTGTTGAGTGCGATTTCCTTCTGTTTCCCGAGTAGCGGGTGGGGTAGCAACGGAGGCCCAGGGGTAGGGAGGGGGAAAAATGCATGATTAATTCGTCCGGCCTGTGAATACTTAGCAGCACATGCACATGTGAATACCTAGCCGTCAAACATCTCAAAAAAAAAGCAAGTGTTGCAAAACTGTCAGTTCCCGTGTTTAGGCCCGGCGGCCGTTGTGGCAGTTAATTCGATGGTTGTGGCGGTGACTTCCAGTGGAGTTCCTGTGAAAAGTGGTGAGGTCAGTTAGTGCTTGCACGATGAGACAGCGCCCCAATGACGGGGATCACACTCAGCACCCGAGTGGGACGGCTGAGCGAAACACACTCTGACAATTGCATTCAGTGAACTCAGTTCCCCAAGGAAAGGAATGCCTCAACGGTAAGGTGAGGAGTCCGATCAATTGTAGATGTTTGAACAAGTGGTTTGTGCGCATCTGCAGACTCGCGACAGCAGCGGACGAAACGGCGGCGCGGCTGCGGGGGAAGAAAAGGTTTAGGGGGAGAAACATGAACGACCATGGCATCAAAACACAGCAAGGAAGAGTGGAGTGGTATCACGGCGCAGGTACGTTTTCCTGATCGTCCAGTGGGCAGAGGCCACGACCGGAGATCCCTCTGCCCCCTGCATTCAAAACTCTTAGTTACAGAGGTTAGAGGTGGAACCCTTAGATACAGGGGGTGACACACGCACACACGCACACACACACACACACCTGAGCTTGGATTGCAGTCTCATACTTCAAGGTGGCCGCCATGATTTCCACTGAGGTTATGGACACTCCGCTGTTTTGCACGAGCAGAAGATGTGGATTTTTGGTGGGAAAGACTCCCCGGTCTTAGGGGAGGACCTCAATGATTTGCAGCGTGGCAGACCATGGTGGAGCCCTGGGTGGGGCCCAAGCTCTGGGAGCTGCTAAAACCCATTGTAGAACTGGATTTGTGATTCATAAACTTCCCGCCGGGTGTGGAATCGCACGTGTAGTCGTGCAAATGTTGATTCAAAAGTGCAAACCCTCTCAATACTTTTGCTTGTTCGATGATGTTTTTTGGGGGGTCCCGGATCCTTTCATTTTTAAAGCCGAATCTGCCGAAACCCAAGCGCCAGCGCAAAATCCGTTGCCGTTTTTGTCCCGGGCTGTCCTCAACTTTCATGCGTCCTGTCTCAAGTAGACTTGCGCACCCCATTTTAATCACACGACTAATCGATGACAATGTTATGAAACCGATTTCAATGATATGAAACCGAAGATTACTTGTTAAAATCGATGGCAATGTTCTCAGCGTGACATCCACATCCTCATTCCATCACAACCCCCCCCCATTTTAATCACACGACTAATCGATGACAAGGTTACGAAACCGATGACAATGTTGACAAACCGATGACAATGTTATGAAAACGATGACAATGTTATGAAACCGATGACAATGCTATGAAACCGAAGATAACCTTAGTATACTTCAAAAATTGCAGTAGTCACACGTTCGGTTCTAC